AACATTTTCAATGTAATCTGATTCTGCTGTTGTCAATGCAGCCATAAACTAAACATCAAAGCTCTGATTCAGTCAACATTGTGTTGTTGTTGTTTTTGTTGTTGTTGTGTAGTTTTGCAGGTCAAGTGGGCTACATAATAGCAGGGATGAAGGATGTGAAGGAGGCCCAGATTGGAGACACACTCTACCTTCAGGAGCAGCCTGTCGAGGCTCTCCCAGGTTTTAAACCTGCTAAAGCTATGGTGTTTGCTGGTAAGAACTGCAGCTGCTTCCTGCTTCTCTCTCTGCAAAATCAGACCAATTGCTGAAATTTATAAAATCAAGTTTAAAAAACCAAAAGCATTCGAGATGATTGTAACTAGTAGAACATGAGCCTTGAATATTCTAGTGTCAGTGCTTTTTGTGTCTCACCAGCGAGTACAGTAAAGTGCAGCCTGTGCTCTCCAAAAGAAAAAAAAGTCTTTTATGCTGATGATGTGCACTTTTCTCTGTCCCCCAGGCATGTATCCGATGGACCAGTCAGAATATCCGGGCCTCCGCAGCGCCATTGAGAGGCTGACCCTGAATGACTCAAGTGTCACAGTGCAGAGAGACAGCAGTCTGGCCCTGGGAGCAGGCTGGAGGTGTGGATGTTATGAATGAATAATAAAAAATGGCTTTATGGAGGAGTGAGGATTCTGCTGCATGTACTGTACCAGCAGATGAGAACAAAGACATGGATTTTAAAGCCTTTGAGCAATGCAACAACAAAGACCCACTCCCAAAGTCATTATGTTTGCTTTTTTTATTATTATTATTTGCTCCTGCAAAAAAATCCACATTTTGTCTAAAAAGTACAGAACTTAAAGGGACTCTCCAGACAATCTTAATCAACATATGACATGAACTATTGGAAAATGTCTTGGATTTATCCCAAAGAGGCTCTTTGTAATTAAAAAGCAATATCATTTATAAACCTTGTGATCCTGTGGACCTTCCCCTCTCTCCCTGCAGACTTGGCTTCCTGGGTCTTCTTCATATGGAAGTGTTCAATCAGAGGCTGGAGCAGGAATACAATGCCTCTGTTATAGTCACAGCGCCCACTGTTCCCTACAAGGCTGTGCTCTCCTCAGCCAAACTCATCAAGGTAAGAGCCATTTGCTGCTCGTATATTTTCTGATCTTAACAGGGTCTGGCTCGCACTGTAATTCCTGCAAAAAAAAAAAACGTTTGGACTGAGTTAGGAATTGGTGATAAATGGAGGCTGTCTGATATTTCTGGCAGGCTTTCCTCTGTTTTGTCATATGGGAGATGTTTGATGGGAAGAACACAATCAAAATGTTTGGTTGTTATGGCAAAATCACAGCCAGTAAATGAGACAAATGAACTCAATGGATAGCAGACTGTCAAGTTTATTATTCAACCTTTAGTTTTACTCGGGAATACTTCATTTACAATGAGTACAAAAATATAAAACATTCCAAGAAAACACAAATAAGAAACAGTAACATTTACATAATAGTAAAAGCAAGAGAAATGGCAAAAGCCTTCGGGATAAATGCAGAACATAAAATGTAATTTAAAGCAAATAAATCATTTAAAACAAATTAATCAACTAAAACAAGAGCAGCAGGAGGTCAAATAAAATTAGTGCTCTAAAGATAAAAATGAGTTGAGCTTTAGACTGTTCTGTATGTTATTCCATTTCACAGGTGCAGGAAGAGAAAAGCTGGATTTACCTAGCTCAGTAAAGACAGTTGGCACCTGCAGTGTAATTCAGTCATTGGAGCTTGTTGGATGAGAGCTCTCTTTTAATGATAGCAGTGATGTGATGTAAGGGGGACAAAGACCAATAAGGGCCTTAAAGATAAATAAAGGTTTCAAGCTTTACAGCTCAAGCTGTGGTTGGAGCTGTGGTATAATATCACTTATGCTTTTGGAAAGAGATTAACTAGCATGTTTTTTTCAAGTTTTAAGTTGTGTCACTTCTACTTACAGGAACATGGGAGCGAGGAAATAACCGTCGTGAACCCCGCTCTGTTCCCTGACAGATCAGTTGTGTCGGAGTATTTGGAGCCCATGGTGATCGGGACCATTCTTGCTCCAGACACATACACTGGCAAGATCATGTCTCTCTGCTTGGTAAGAGGAGAAGGGAACATGCAAATGAAATGAATAAACCTGAACTATTGAAATCGAATTAGATCATATGGGGTTTAGTTTTCATCTGTTTGTGTACACATGTATCTGCCCTTTCAAAGTCATATTTAAATTATAGTGTTTGTTTTTTAATCTAAGTCAAAGGGGGGTTACTGCCTCTAAACACTCACAGACAAGTTGGCCTGAATCTCAAGCGTGTTGTAAATGAACTGTGACAGGGGATATCAGTGCATCCATGGTTTTTACACTCTCCAAATTGGTCTGGAGGAGAAAAGAAAGTAACTACTGCACTTAAAAACTGAGGAGCCATTAAAACTGTCCTCTTGTCAAAAGTGTGCCTTCATTTTATTTGACTGATTCAACTTGTCTTTTCTTGCTAACATTAGTGTTTACAAGCAGTCTCCTAACTGCTCAATCAGGTTTTATTCAATAGTTGAGACTGTAAATATACAGAATCTAAAACTAGTCAAAGTAAAAACTTATATATTTTCTTGTTCTTAAAGAACCGCAGAGCTATCCAGAAGAACATGGTGTACATAGATGACCAGCGCGTCATGATGAAGTATCTCTTCCCCTTAAATGAAATTGTCGTGGATTTCTATGATCAGCTCAAATCAATGTCATCTGGATATGCAAGGTAAAACTCAACAAACACTATGTGAATGCCTACTGTCATCAACGGTCATTTAAAAAACATTTAGTATGCCTTGTCAGAGTTGTTTATGCATCGTCAAAAGTCAAAGTACTTACATCTACATTTCTTTATTTAATGATATAAGGTAAGAGTTGGTAAAATACCAGTATTAATAAAGTTAAAAGGACAAAAATATCATCTCTAACAGATTTTAAACTTTTATTCTGTTGTCAAATTGAATTAATGTATAAATGTAAATATTAAGATATATTTCTGATATAAAAACAAGCACAGAGCCAAGTACTCTCCTCCTCCTATCCCATAGTTTTCCTTCTCTTGTGTGTGAGCCTTGTCTTTAGATCACGCTCTTTGATTTCTGTGAAAGTTTTCCATGCATTCAGTTGACCATGACTTTGATTTGATCTTCCACACTGTAGCTTTGATTATGAAAACGCAGGCTACCAGGCTGCTGATCTGATAAAGATGGACATTCTGCTGAATGGTCGACCGGTTGAAGAGCTCACCACGATTGTGCACAGGTCAGTTACAACATTAGCTGAATTCAGAGGCTGCAAAGTAACAGTGATGGAGAAGAAAATATCCCTTTTGTAGACTGATGCTGCTTGAAAGCATCTTCTTACAGTCCCAGCCTCAGCTTCATTATCACCACTGCTGTCAAAAGAAAGAAATTGTGGATTTTTACGAGTTGACATAATTACAAGGTTATATGGTCCTGTATTAAGAGAGTAATTGTTCTGAGCCTATGGAGCATGAAATGTATTCAACACCCAGGACTGACATTAAAATCCAGCGTCTTGGTGGCCTGTGTTAACATTATCTTTGATAGTGACTTTACTCTCCAGACGAAGACTTTGGTCCATTTGTGACAAGGACAATAGACTAAACTTCACAGGCAAAAGTGATGATGCACAGCAGATCTGTATTTAATGTACTTACTACCAAAGCCAGCACAGAGGCCAGTGCAGGCCTGGGTAATTGAAGGGCGCTACGCTTCACCAGAGATTGCTACTCTCAGACCATTTATACAGTTAACTATGGAGACCAGCCGAGCTTGGCTTCAGCCTCTCATTCCTCAAGGGGCGATGCACCAATCACAGGGCAGAATATCTTTTACAGGGGCCACGTTATGGAGTGACTGAAATTTATCGTACGTGACTGAACCAAAGTGAGGCAAAGGATGTGCTGTCAAGCAGAGAGGCCATTTCCATCTGTTAGGTGAACTTGGAAGAACGATACTTCCTGGCTTCTTTAAACTTTCCCCAGACATGTCTGATGGAGATGTTGTGATTCAGGGTCAGAAATGTATATTCAGAAATGCAGGCAATAACCCCCCTAACCCCTATTCCCATTTTAATTAGACTAAGCCATTTAGAGGGTATAACACATGTATATGTCATTATAAGCTACTATATTTTGAATTGCTGTGTGAGTCCAGTACAATTTGAAGGCTGATGGGTGTGTTTTCATTATAGAGGCCGTGCGCACACTTCAGGGAAAGCCATGTGTGAGCGACTCAAAGACTCCATACCGAGACAGATGTTTGAGATAGCTGTACAGGCAGCTATTGGAAGTAAGGTCATAGCAAGAGAGACGTAAGTACAACATCTGCAACGAGAATGTCGCTCAGTAGAGCACATACCTCGGCCAAGGCCAGACAGTCCCCTTTAATTCCATCAAGCTGCACCACATTTCACACACTCAGACTCAGATATCTGTCTACTGAATGTACCTGAACTGTTTCATTGAGGTCCATGAATTAGTCATGATTAAGAAAATGTTGAAAAATGAAAAAAATCTTGCAAAGTTAAAGAAATTGAAATAGAAACATCCTTGGTCTTCCCCCTAATCCTCACCGAAATATAACTGGTTTCTTCCTTGACTCATATCACATCCTCCCACCAAGTTTCATTGAAATCCTTTCTTTTGTTTTTGTGTAATGTGACTTAAAAAAAGACGTGGGTGAAAACATTACCTCCTTGGTGGAGGTAATGAGCTTTATTAGAGTGGTATGAGGAAAAGACCAATACATATATATGAAGCACTTTGAATTCTCTTTCTATAGGAAATGTGTCAATAAAATTAACTTGCCCTAAAAATGTGAAATGATAGAATTTGTCTCTTTTAGAATAAAGGCGTTCAGGAAAAATGTGCTTGCCAAATGTGTAAGTAAAGTTTTTTCTTAATTCGAAACGGTTTTTTTAATCTACAGATGTACTACAAACTCTGAATCATAATAATTTGTTTCTGTCTTTCTAGTATGGAGGTGACATAACACGCAAGATGAAGCTGCTGAAGAGACAAGCCGAGGGCAAGAAGAAGATGAGGCGTATTGGAAATGTGGACGTTCCCAAAGACGCTTTCATTAATGTTCTGAAGAGAAAAGACAAATAGACTGTGATACCACTAGAATATTATTCTGTAATTAT